GAATTTTTCATGAGTTGTACGTCTAAACATAAACTTCAATTTAAGACCGCGGAGACCGAAATTGGAGCGAGAATAGCCGAGTTGTTAGTCATGCAAAAATCCTATTTTTGCTGGTAAAACAACACAGAGGATGGCACAGTCAACGAGACAGTAAATCAGACATATCTCGGGTTCTGCATCAGCTAGAGAAGTGCGGTTTGCACCATTATTTTTCTTAGGAATAGGAAGCCCTCTACAAACCTAGAAGGTCGCATAGCTGGCGCCAATACTTTTGTATATCGTAGCATGGTTCTGATGGATGCACCCATGATACTCATCATTTAGTGTAGTCTCATTGAGAAAATAGATGAAACCTTTTGAAGAATACCATTTTATTCTAAGAGGAGAAAGCAAAGTAACACACACGCTCATGTGGAGAAAAAACAATATATAAATATGAAAATCATAGAGAGTATAAGCACGTGTCTATGATTCAAGAACCCCCATTTTTATACAATTGACTCACCACTGAAGAAGAAGGAGGAAGAACGGAGGAGGTGCTTCATCATGACTGAAAGCCATAAAAAAAAGATAAGCATTTGTTGTACGCACATGAAATTGGAGAGAACAATACGAAAAACGAAACCGCCGAATAGAGAGAGCCACACAATGTCAATGAAGGTAAATAATCTATGTTAGAAAAAAGGAAAAAATTGTCAGGTGCTATATGTATATGAAGAAATATTGTATTTACATTCACATTGCGAAACACATATTTTCCATATCGATTGGGTAATCATTTTATTTCGTTGATTTGTTTAAATATTAACAGTACTTTCTTTCAAATATGAGTGTAGATACCAATGGTGGACAAAAGAAAGATAACTATGCAATTTTCAAGCGCATACTTTCAACATAGCTACTAATAAGGAATCCAAAGGTTAACAATAAATTCATGTATTCACAGGAAGATATCTTGTGTTACAGTTCTTTTCTAACCGTGATGAAGGTAGAGAGAGAGAGAGAGAGAGAGAGAAAATGTCGTCTTTGGTGTTATGGAATATTACGAAAACATTCTATAGGGAATTATCCTACTGTGAGCTCTATCTGAGAATGAACGAATCTCTGTCTGCTGAGGGAGAGAGAAGCTGCACTGAATCGAATGTATTCATATATTCTTTCTTTCTTTCTTTCTTTCGTTCTGTAATCTATACCCTTGATCAGTTCTTTGTTTTTTCCAGTTAGATTTGTGTTAACAGTAGTGAAGGGAATTCCCCTATGACATGAGGAAACTACCTAACGTTATAATATATATATATAACTGGTGGCCCATATGGAATGGGACAAATTCACAAGCCTCTTTCAGAATACTTACATACTGTTTCAGAAATTTGCTTGGCGCTCATTCGATAGAGAATTTTTCGCTCTATAAGACTGTCGCCCTTGTTTCTCAGATTGGTTTTTCGTATCGAGAAAAATATGGAAAGAAGACCAACTACCTAATCGTCTAACTGCGATATTATGTTTCCCGCGAAATTCTCTCAATTTTTATCAGACAATTTTCGGCAAATTCCATGTTCAGACGAAAAATATTGCTTAGCGCAAGACACGAAATCTTGACCCTGTGCTTTTAAGTCATGTATCAAGTACCGCATGATGTTGTTTAGGAGAGAAAAGGTCAAAGTTAAGACCTAGTGTCATTTATTGAATGACTATCAAAAACCATGTGTGTAAGAGTGTAATTTTCGCTATCTGATGGTCATTATTATGCTGCCAAATGTAGAATTCAATACACTTCGTAAACGTTTTCTTCCAAAGAGCTAAAAACAGCACAGGGAAAACTTCGACAGGAAGGCAATTTTTACTATCCTTTCTCGATGTCCTAGTTCAAGGTGTTTTCTCAGAAAAGCATCTCCCAGAAACCCCTCAGCATGCCTAAAGAGATCCACTGTTTGACGAAGAATCCTTTTAGCATAGTTGAAACATTCGCGACACTTTCCCTTCAAAAAAATTGTCAGCTTGTTTCGTTTGGTCACCGTCGCAGTTAGACGATTGGGCAGTTGGTCTTCTTTCCATATTTTTCTCGATACAAAAAACCAATCTGAGAAACAAGGTCGACAGTCTTGTAGAGCGAAAAATTCTCTATCGAATGAGTGCCAAGAGAATTTCTCAAACAGTATCTAAGTGTTCTGAAAGAGGCTTGTGAATTTGTGGGTGTGGGTGTGAGGTGGGTGTGGCTTTAGAAGAAGACACCTCTGTCCATTCCCACACACCCACGCCCTCATGCCAATATGCATTTTTCTGAGGGTGACAATGAGATACCCGAGCGTCCTTTTTTGAAGATACGAATTAGTATACTTTCATTCGAGTACACCGAAAGTAATTCTTGTATGCTTAAAACTTTTCCTTAAATGTTTCTTGCCTCTTGAACGTTAGTTCATATAATACAGTAATCGACGTCCTGGTCTCGCTGGGATGACCGAGCAAGAGTTTCTAATTATTCTTCGACTTCATAGTAAACTCTAATAGTGACGATGAAAACCAATCTGGCCTGATTTCCAAGGAATTGAATAATCTGACACATAATTTCAGATGTTTAAAATATTTCGTGATCAAGTAAAAATAATTTTGCCTAACGACGTCTCCTATGCACGCAAGATGATAACTTAGTTACGAGAATCTCGAAACCACGTATCCAGGAACGTGGACTAGTGTACTGTCCTGATAGGGTGTCAGAACAGGAACAAAATCGGTGCCTCTTAGGGGCGCTTCAAAGTAGCATTTTCAGAGCACGGATGGCGTTTTTTATGATTCCTATCGAGTTCTGCGTTAAATTTAACCAAACTGGCAACGTGCAACTGAATTGTGAGCAAAATCAAGAAGAAACAAAAAGTATGTTTTTTTCGCTACCCTGGGGGAGCAGTGCACAGCGCTTTTCTCAGCCAAGGAAAAATGTTGTCCAAAAGCGGTATGTGGGGTTGTTTACCATGCAGTTCTGGTTGGAATGATCAAAGAACATCTATGAAAGCTCTTAGTCAGAAGGAGTAGAAGCATTTGGGGTGAAGGATGGTCGGTGTGTCTATCTGGTTTCCTATTTCATTCCGATGAAACGCAGTCGAATACTCCACAACCATTCGAACAAACATCGAAAATGAAGACGTAATCTCACTCAGCTCAATCATCTCTATCGAATAGCTCATGATTAAACAAAATCTCTTAGATCCTTCTTTTTTTGCGTCCGGGACACCTCACATACTGTTTGCTTTTGAGTGGTGAAAGAATTTGTTGTAATTGTTCTCTTCAATAAAGTTTCTAGTAGAATTTAACTTTTTATGTTGCATAAAAATCTTGAGCTTTTACTCTTTTTGTGTTAAAATACCCTTGTTAATCTGATATTTAAATCTTACGTACTGTAAGAGATCTTAAAGCTACACATATTTGTCCGATGATGTTTCGCGTTGGTCATATTAGTTAGATTTGAAATTATTTCAAGTACACTCAATTACTAGTTACGACAGAATCCTACAGGAATCTTTTTGACGAAATTGCATTGGGTTCTGTCGGACAATTCTATCAAAATCTGTCGAATGTTGGAAATTTTATGAGCGTTCGTTTTAGCTATAATAGAGAACATCCATTTTGACGCATTGAATCAGAGTGGTGGAAAACACTCATATATGTATCGATTGTAGCAAACAGTAACTTATTCATATCAGGCATAATCGATGAAATAAATAGTAAATTATGACATTGTCATATGTTTTCGACTAGTAATCGTGTTATGCATGTAACACATGAGATTCTTCACAGGCGCTGTCTGATTCGTAATATCTACTTTGATGGCATTCGGCAGAATGTTGCCACTTAAGACAGAACTTCAAAGCTTTTGTACATCATACATTTACTCACTATACATTGAAGAAGATGTGTGTAGAATCATAATTTTTCACTTATTAACATCATAAATCTTTTGATATACACTTTACCGAGTTTATTGTGCTCATAAACAATGCCAAAAAAGTGCATACTAAGATACTTTTTCGAAGGCTTTATGAGTTTAGCAAGCTTTTTTTTAAAGTGATATATCTATGCTAATATACCATAAAAGGTGAATAAATAATCGATGAAGAAAAGAAAAATTGTGCCCATTTTTTCCTCGGAGCATATTGATGTGTCCGATCATAGTGTATTTCAGTCTATATAATAGATTTTTACTAATGCGACCCTCAAAGTATCAACCTTCTACGAGGAAAAAGAGTTTTTTCAGTAAAGATCTTGAAACTTAATATTTCTAAAATCCCTAAAAGAGAGTTCCTGAGAACTTTGCGCCTATCACAGCAGTTGCTTTTTTACGAGATCTATCTAGCTCAAAATATTCATAAATTTCTGCAACCAGTTCTTTGCAATATTGATTTAAAAAAATGAATCCATTTTTCGTGACTTTATGGATGTACATCTTTCTAAGGAATATTATATTCTTAATTGAGTGTATTTGACACAACTAAGAATACGTAGGTATATCACTTCTATCGTTATTAGTGGGTTTAATTGATATAATTAAGTAATGCTTTCGATGTTTCAGATATTATTCAGCTATCGATAGCATAATAAATCTCTCTTATTGCACACAATATACTTCATCTGTGCAACAGATAACCTTATCAGCGAACTACGAAAAAATAGTTATCAGAATATTTCTTGATTTTTAGGAACCTGGCAATATTGAATATAGATCAATTGATTCTACTGGAATCACATCGATGATGCATAATGAAAGGAAGCAAGTCATGCTCTCATATAATTATAACAGCAAGCAGATCGTGGAAAAAATTTTCAACATTCTGAAGGAGAAAAATATATCAGTTTGTTATAATGATCGGCACATGGAAGAGAACATCTCCGACGGGTATAACTTCTAACCTTGAAAAACTCTTTTAAAATATCATGAGATGCAATTTTCTGACGTTTAGCATGAATAGCACCGTAGATGCAGCTGAAATCGTTTGCTGTTTTATGACACCAGAATATCAGGATTCCATTAACTGTAAAAATGAATTACAGTATGCCAGAGAGAAAAAAAAGCATATTATTCCATGTATGATTGGCGATAAGCAAAACAAGCAATGGAAACCAACTGACTGGCTGGAATTCACCGTAACAGGCCTTAACTATATCGATTTTCAGGAAGAGTCTGATCAAAATATTCGATTAAAAGCTGAAGAACTTATTAATAGAATAGCAAATCAATATTCAACAACTATTGAATACAGTTTGGTCGACGCCATTAAAAAGAAATATTTAAAAGAAGATAAAATCAAATGTATATTGAATGAAGAGGATACCTTTTCAATCGACCACATCTATATTAATTTGGCAATCGTCAACACTAAAGAGCAGCACAAAAAGCAAGCGAAGCCATCAAAATATGAAATGAAAAGCACGGCAAATCCAGAAAAGGAACAAGATTATCATTGGAAGCGATACGATAGCACGGTTTTAGGCGCCTATGAAGACATTTATGGTGATCAAACGCAAACTGACATCGAAGGAATTTTTGGAAGTTCCAGTGCTCCTATAAAAAAGGTGCAGATACTGGGACGACCAAAAATTGGAAAATCAACATTTTGTCAATATGTTACTTATCGATGGGCCAAAGGGAAGCTCTGGTCTCGTTATGAATTGGTTGTGTTGATTGACTTCCTACAGCTGAATAACACTCGATACCCAGCGACAAAAATTTACACATTAGTTGATCTTATTGAGAGAGAATATACACCGTTAGGCGGTTTATCGCAGAAGGAGAAAAAATCTTTCTTGCAAAAATGTAATAACGGAAACGTTTTATGGATATTGGACGGATATGATGAATTAGCAGCAAACATTCCAGAACAACTGAAACAGTGTTTCGATGATATACATGAAAAACAAAATTGTATACTGATGTCTTTATCTGATGACATTGTAATTTCATGCGATGTGAAAATGAAAATAATGGGATTGATACATGCTGATATTTCAAGATATATCGGGCACTTTTTTCGTCGGATTGAAGGTGAATTACCAAATGCTTCATCCGAAGGTCAAAAACTACTAGATTTCCTATATTCAAATCGGAGTATTTGTCGTGCTGTCAGTATTCCTGTGAACCTTGAACTGATATGTAGACTTTGGGTTGATCCACATCAGTTAGAAACGAAAGTATCAACAATGACTGCGTTGTACGAGAAATTCGTAGTATGGCTATGTCGACGACAAATCACAAAAGACAATAAAAATCTAGAACAGATGACGAAAGACGCTGTCTATAAAGAATTCGATAGAGAATTACAATTTTTAGAATATTTAGCTTTCAAAACGGTGGAAAGCGACAAAATTATTTTGCCCTCAGATCTTGTACAAGAGGCAACAAGAGAAACCGGATGCGATCTACACGAATATTCACGGGTTTTACAAATGGGTATTCTGAAACCATATGATAAAAAGTCATTTGAAAATCAGAATGAAACTACAAAACATTATTATTTCATTCATCCCAGTTATCAAGAATTTTTTGCGGCGCGACATTTACTAAGAGTATTGAAAAGCTCAAATGATAATGAAGCTACTCATTTCATCAGCCATCAAAAATATAACCAACGATTTCGTTTGATGTTTATCTTTGCCACGGGTCTTCTAGCAGAATCCCATTATCAAGCATGCATCAATACATTTTGGACAAAGATTCAAGGGGAACCCATGGATCTTGGTGGTCTTCAGCATTTACAACTTCTCACTGAATGTATCGATGAGCTGGGCGATTCAGACGTGTTTGATGATCGATTAAATATAGTAAACAAACTATGGCATTTATTCAAAACATTCTTCGATATCGAAGCGAACGTCGTTAAAGATAATATGATAGCAATTCTCTCGAAAACATCGACTATATTTCAAAACAAACTCATGCAAAACAATCTCGCGCAACTACTGTACATCAGTGATGAATCTCAGAAATGTCGATTACTTCGTTTAATATCTCAATTACCTGTATTGCAACCCACCGAAAAACTCTTCTCTGTGCTTCTCCGTCAATTACGAGACTCATCAGTCTCAATTCGGCAAGGAGCCTGTACTGTTCTTGGAAACATAGGCGCTAACACAGTGACCAAGCAGCTCACCGATGGTCTTGTCAAAGCACTTGGAGATAACCATTGGCTTGTTCGCATAGCTGCCTGTAAAGCTCTTGGAAAGCTGAATAAGAATGCAGTAACAAATAACATAATCGGTGGGCTCATCGAAGCACTCGGCGCTAATTCTGGCGATATTACCACAGCTGCGTGTAATGCTCTAGTGAAATTGAGTGAAAAAGTAACAATGAATCTAGTGATCGATGGTCTCGCCCATGCGCTTGCTCGTCATAAAAACTTCCTCGTTCGAATACATGCGTGTGAGATTCTTGGAAAGATCGCTGAAAAAACACCAATCAATGAAACGATTGTTGTCCTCATGAATGCACTGGACGATAAAGCCACCAGCGTCAATGACAGTGCGCATAAAGTTCTGATGAAGCTCAGCAAAATAGAATCAGCAGATAAGGTGATCACTGCTCTTATACATGCACTTGCTGTTCATGAGAACTACCAGGTCCGAAAAAGGGCATGCAAGATTCTCAGAGAGATAGCTGAAACAGCACCAACCAATGATGTGCTGGCTGCTCTCATCAATGCACTTAACGACATAGCTTTTGACGTCAGTCGCAGTGCTCATGAAGCTCTGATGAAACTCGGCGGAAAAGTATCAACGAGTGAAGCAATCACTGGTCTCATCAATGTACTACGTCCAAACAGTAATTGGATTCAAATATGTGTATTTCAAGTTCTTGGGAGCATCGGTGAAAAAGCGGCAACAAATGAGGTGCTAACTATTTTACTTAAAGGACTTTGCGATAGCAATGCGGATATTCAGATAAATGCGTGTAAGGCTCTTGAAAAATTTGGAGAAAAAGCAGCAACGGAAGACGTAATCTTAGGTCTCAGCAAAGCACTTTATGACAAAAATGTAGATGCTCGACAAAATGCGTGTCAAGTTCTTGTAAAAATTGGTGAAACTGCAGCAACGAATCAGGTGCTAACTATTTTACTTGAAGCACTTCGCGATAGCAAGGCGGATATTCGGAAAAATGCGTGTCAAGCTCTTGGTAGATTTGGAGGAAACGCAGCAACGGAAGGCGTAATCTCGGCTCTCAGCTATGTACTTCATGATAATGATCCGGGTGTTCGGATAAATGCGTGTCAAGCTCTTGGAAAATTTGGAGGAAAAGCAGCAACGGAAGACGTAATATCAAGTCTCAGCAAAGCACTTTATGATTATAATACGGATATTCAAAAAAATGCGTGTCAAGCCCTTGGAAAAATCGGTGAAAGCTCAGCAACGAATGAAGTATTAACTGTTATCCTAAAAGCATTTAATGATAAGCATGGTTCAATTCGCCAGATCGCGTGTAACGTTCTTGGGGACATGGGTGAAAGAGCAATAACTGCTAACGTCATCACTGCTCTCCTGAATGCATGTAACGACCGAGATTCTAACGTTCGTCGCAGTGCTTGTGAAGCTCTGGTGAAACTTGCCGAAAAAGCATCAACGAATGAGGTCATCGTTGGTCTCAATAATGCACTTGGTCATGAAAATGTAAATGTTCGAAAAAGTGCGTGTCACACTCTTGCACAAATTCTTGAAAAAGCGGCAAGACTGGAGACGATCTCTGCTCTTTTTAATGCACTGGCTGATAAGGATAGAGATGTCCGATCCACAGCGTGTATTGCTCTTAGAAATTTTGGTAAAAAAGCAGTGACGAATGAGCTGATTGTTGGTCTTATCGAAGCACTCGGCAATAACGATTTAAATGTTCGAATAGAGGCATGCAGCATTCTTTCGGATATCGGTGATAAAGCAGGAACGAACGAGGTGATCGCTGCTCTCCACAGTGTACTTAGAGCCGCGGATAAAGATATGGAATTTTGGATCTGTATAGCTCTTCGCAAGATCGGTGAAAAAATAGCAAATGATAAGGTGATCGATTATCTTGTTAGTATTCTTATCGACAAGAACTCTAGTAACCAAAGAAGTGCATGTGAAGCTCTTAGCAATATGGGTAAAAAAGCAATAACCAAAAAAGTGCTAGCTGGTCTCGTTGATGCACTCGGCGACAAGAGCGTGTATTTGCGAGAAAGTGCATGCGAAACGCTCGCAAAATTAGGTGAAAAAGCAGCAACGGAGAATGTATTAGGTGGCCTCACCAATGCGATGCGTAACAATGTTAACTATCCTGAACGTATCCGAGAAAAGGCATGCAAAGCTCTAGGAAGTATGGGTGAAAAATCAGCAACGAGTGCGGTGATAGCTGGTCTCGTCGAGGCACTTCGCGACAAGGAATGGGACCGGGATATCCGACGAGAAGCATGTGATACTCTTGGAAAAATCGGTAAAAAAGCAGCAACAAAGGCGGTGCTACAAGGTCTGATTGATGTAATTCATGATAAGGATAGAGATTGGACGTCGGATCATGGAGAAGAAGCGTGTAAAACTCTTGTGAAGTTTGGTGAAAAAGCAGTAACGCATGAGGTGATCACTGGTCTTCTCAATGCACTTGGTAGCAAGAATGCGTCTTATTCTGTTGAACGAGGGGCGTTCGGGGCTATTGTGAAGCTTAGTGAAAGCGCAAAAACAAATCAAGTGATCGTTTGTTTAGTCGAGAGATTTTTTTTCAAAGGAAATAATGTAATTGATTCAGACAAGCCAAAAGCTCTCACCTCAGCGATGCATTCATATGCTGCACTTAAGGATTTAGATACTGATATGATTGTGAAGCTGACACAATGTTTGAAACAATGTGTGAATATTGAATTGGCAACGATGCCACGAAATCAATTCATTAGAGTATTTCTCGAAACACGAAATGACGCCTGGATTCCTTTAGTTGAATATGCAACACTCTTGCAAAATGTTGCGGTGACTATCATGGATAATAAAGTTATGATATACGATGGTAAATATGTGGCTGAGCAACAGGTGACGGAGCCTGGAGTATTGGAACTTTTGAAAAAAAAGAGACCACTGTATGCAGACATCACACTGACACCAACAATGACAAGTGATTTTGATGCACATCAAGTATTATTAGGTAAGAAAAAAAAGAAAATTTGGCTACTATTATGATCGAGACCGCTTTTTTTTGAACCAAAATTCTTGTCAGTTACTATTTTTTTGTCTTTTTAAATACAAAGTAGAACACTAGAGTCACCACGCAACTCTATTGAATATTCATCATTCTTTCTCTTAGAATCAGAAGAATTTACTGTGCTAGATATTAACAGCGGCAAGCTTTCTTGCAAGGGTCATCCTTGTCCAAGCTGTGGCCAGTGTCGTGATTGGTATTTTACAGGCAATGGAGCAGAACTGGCTTGGTTGCGAGATGAACAACATTGGAATCACGAAGGTGACGCTTGGAATCGTTGGCTCAACGATCGTTTGTACTTGAAGTTTAAGCCTCGTGATGGAAAAACCTGTGTTGGTCGCCACAGCTTTATTTTTCCTTTCACTATTGGTAAATATGATTATGGTTTTCATGTGGGAGAAGGTGATTTTCCTCATGGTCCTGTTGGTTATGCTAGAGCTGTTCCGCTTGCCGAGAACATTCCTTATGATTATGAAGGCTACTATAGTGATTTTTGTGCTTGTGAAGATAATGTTGTTGCGTGAAACTTTTTTACTTTGTTTTTGTCCTATGAAGCATAATATTATACAAGCGAAATTTCTTTAAAGCGGAATATGTTTCATTTTGTTCGATCTAAACTAAGGGTGTGGAAGAGTTTAGACAGAAATAACTACCACAATCCGAATTTCGATCATGTTTATAATGATCTCATCAAGTGGTGGTTCTGAATATCGCCATAAATATTAAGTGAATTCAAACAAATTTTCGAATTAAAAGCTAAAAAAGCTTGCAGTCATTTAATGAGTATGGGAAGATACGCACTCTTGTTTGGTAATTATTGTCGTGACTCGGGTAGATGGTCGTGGTGTTATAGAAGAAAGGTTATTGTAATGTTGTGTGAATAGCGTTGTTAATTTGCTTCCGTTTATTCCTTTTAACTCCATTTTCAAAACTTTATTTCAATTTTTTTTAATTGATAAGAAGCAAACAAGGCAGAAAAAGAAAAACACAAAAAAAAGGGAAAGAAAAAAACACACTCATATCAAAACGTATATCCCTTTATATATTCTCCTTTCATACTTTCTCCCCCTCCCATATCTCATCACATACCGATGACGTTTCTTTTATTGCATAGGGGTAAATTTAGTACATGGAGAGAGACAAGAGAGAGAAAAAGAAGACATCAAAGAATGCAATGGATGATACCATAACGAAACACAAAGCAGAATATAGAGGATATATCCTAACTAAATTTATATCATGGCCACCGACCATGACAAGCGTTGATGTGGGCTGATGGATTGTGTCATGTTTTGCTTGGTACGCCAATTCCTGGAATTGGAACCGGCCCGAACTGGAACTGGTGCATCCCTAAATGTTGATCTTTCCAGCAGCCAGTTTGCTTACATTATGAAATAAAGATTAATTTTGTTAAATAAGATGAAAATCATGAGAGAGAAAACGTGTTCATATTCTGACTGTTTGAACGAAGATTTTTCAAATAGAATATAAATGTTTACGCTGTTCAATTGTTGAAAGTTGCCGATAAAGCCAAAGAAAACAATGTTGTACTCTTTTTACAACATGGGATGTACACGTCTCTGTATCGTCGTTCGATATCGTCCGATACACTTGTGAAATTCTTTTTTGTACAATTTTGACGGCAAGACAAATGCGGCAAAGAGACGCATTGGCGGAATAAATGAAATAAAGTATCCAACAAGAAATTGCCACGAATTACGTGCCGATTTCATACAACTCGAAACGAAAGAAATGATCAGACGTGGAAAAGCAAGAATGACTAGTATGACTGGTGCAATAAGAAGATGATTGTGTTGTTGAAATTGATAACGTAAGAGGTTTTGGTAAGTTTGATAAGGCTGAACGGTTGCTTTGTGCTGAGCATTCTTTCGAATGATAACAAGAGCCGATATCAGCTTGATGATGAATGGGGTGGAAAAGTGAAAAATATGAACTGCCAAATTGAAGAATTGAACACTGGGCGAATAAGTCACAATACACCAGATCCGCTTCTCGTCACCATCGCCGTCATCATCAATCAGGTCTCGATGGAAGGGATCATGAATAGCTGTGCCAATGGTTAGAATAAGAAGAGCGAGAATCGTGAATTTAGCCATTTTCTTGTTCTTCTTCTTGCCAAAATTCACTCGTTTCAGTGCGGCGATTGCTCGCTCGACGACTACACATGTATTCAACCGTTGATCCATACTAAGGCAAATTCGAAGAAGAAAATCAATTGAAATACACTGAAAATTGAGAAAAGATCGATTCGTTGTCAACGCCATTTGTGCAAGGACGAGTATCCAAAGCTTAAGTGCAACCAAAATCACGGTAAATACAGTAGTGATGAATGAAATCAATAGATATAAGTCACAGCCGGCTTCGCATAACTTTTTGCTCTGAAACATAATCACGGAAAGAACACCACTGAACAGTCCTGCGTGATCATGACTGTCGACAACATACGGTTGTTTTACAATGCTGACATTTGGCAGAATGTGATAGCCTAAAATGGCATCGATCGACAGACCGAAACCATTCGTACTAAATTGACATCGTCTTCCATAGAAACATGTGGGACATGTACACATCGATGTTGGTGCACAGGTCGGACTGTCTTGAAAGCACTGAGCCCCATTTTCACAACTATTTTGACCAAAGCAATCGGGTTTCAAATTGTGATCGAACTCGAAGCAGTTGGCCACATGTTGATGATGACTAGAAGTGTTACACAAACAAAAATGAATATCATCGTAAAAGCAAGATAAGTATGATGAATGTTTTTGACATGGCAAATGATAATATTTGATGCGGCGAAGAAGATGTAAGTTGACGATGGTCTCATTGAACACTTCGCTTATGTGTTTACAACGATCCGATGAATTGAGCGTCTTAACGATGACCTGCGATGGATTGTATCGCTTTTGAACAACAGTTAAATAGTAGGTTTTGTTGAAAAGTTCGAAAAGGACAATATGAAATGGACGTGACCAGTAAATGATAAGAGAATTTTTCTCGATAGGAATCGTTTTGACAGTGGTCGCACGTTCGTGTGAAGAATAGTCAAGTACTTGAATAAAGTGAACAATCATCGATCGTGATAGAGTAATATCGTTTTGAAACGATAAAATGATTTTTGTGTCAGCTATTTCACATCTGTCGCCAGTGAAATATTTCGGGCAGATGCATGTGAATTTGGTCTCGGTTGCCATGTGTTCATCGATGGGAATACATTGGCCACCATTCTTGCAACTAGTATATGGATCGATTTGACACATCATATGATTGAGCAAACACTGAGAATCCAACCGATGGATAGGACAAACACACAGAGATCGATTGTGCGCGGAAACACCAATACAATGAGAGTCAAACGAGCACAGACAATTATGTGAAATCGTGCAGTATCGTCCAGGCCATCCTCGATTGCATTGACAAAAAGTGGTACCGCTCGGATCATCGGTATACCTGACACATTCACCATGGGCACACTGTCGATCTGAACAAGTGTCGATGCTGCGTGGAATATTCAGTTGAACGGCGAAACGGTGCACCGCAAAAAAGCGTGGGCGAGTGGCAATAGCCAACTGCCTCGATAGCAGAGATGGGCGAGTCAAGTCAAAAAAGACTTAAGTCCAAGTCAAGTCAAGTCATTTATGACTGACTTTGACTTGGATAGTCTTTTTTATCAGGGACTTATGGCTGGGCATGGCATGACTTGGATCGAAAATTTTTTAACTTGACTTGACTTGTGAATTGCCGAAAAAACATGAGTCAAGTCAGAAATATTTCTGCAGCTATGATGGATGTTAAATTCATACACCCTAACGTTATTCTTTTTGCTCTTCTAGAAAGTGCTACTGTCCAGTCAGGTAGTCCTTGAAAATAACGCCGTTTTAATGCGATAAAAGCACATTTCAGATCGTTAAAACGCGTTCCAACATACAAATCGTTTAAAGGCACCAAAATGTGCGCTTTTAACGCGTAAAAACGTCGTTATTTTTAACGTTTGCCTGACTGAGTGGTTGTGGCATCCATACGCGACGGAAAATTGCTCATTTCTCATGATAGCGAATATGCATAGTCAATATGCAATAAGAAATGGAACATTTCACAACATCATCATCTACAGAAAGGTTTTTCTCTCAAAGTAGCTTCATATTGCGACAACATAGATCGAAAATGTCGAGAAAGACATTAGAAATATTAACACCGTTAAAATGCAATCAAGGACTAATGTAAAATTTTTGTTGAATACATTGATACAGGATTAAATTATAAAATTTTAAAGAAATATTAATCTCATGACTTGACTTGTCAAAAGACTTGACTTGTTAAAGACTGTGACTTGTGACTGACTCGGCTATCGTTGGGACTTGACTTGGCTTGACTGCAAGACTTTTGTTTTTTAGGAATGACTTGACTTGACTTGACTTGAGCGCTTCTCTTTTTTAGGTGTGATTTGACTTGACTCGAGTATCATGTACAAATGACTTGACTTGACTTGGGTAAAAAAAGCCTGACTTGCCCATCTCTGATTTCGAGATTTTCGCCTTGTAGTACATCCCACAAATAAAAACGAAATTATCTAATAGACGATATTAATATGGTTGAATTTGATTTCGAAGAGAAACTAAGCGAAGTAAATTAATTAACAGCAGCAACATCATCTCGAAAAATAAAGAGAAAAGAAAGTTTTTCGTAAAGATTGATTATCCATTGGTAAGTATTCATCTTTATAGTGATGAAACATTCAAAACGGAGTGCTTAGTGACATCATCTTAATACAGGAGTCGCTATTTCACAAAAAATGATCTTTCTGATCAATTTCTGATTTTGAATTTTCGATCTGGCCACCCTGATGCGGGTGTATTGTGTTAGAACAACTTTCCTGTTAAATTGGATGAGTTCGATTCGCATTCTATTTTTTAAAGACTCTGACTTGACTCGAGTGATCCCAGTCATTGAATAAATTTGAATTGGTATTTTCTTTTCTGCAATCTTCCTTCAAACATGGGATTCAGTTTATGTTATAGAATATTGTTTATTTCGAATACTTTTTTCATGAATAAAATATATTCAGTCTATCACAAATTATATGCTATCCAATAGTTATAGAAGAAAAAAAATGGCAAAGGCATGTCAGTGAAAATCATAGTAAATATAAAATGTGGAAAAATGTTAAAATTCGAAAATTTTCTGTCATGTCTGAAGATCTGGTAAGCCCGATTGAAAATGCGTCATGTCCTATTCATTTTACGAAGGCGCTGTATACGTAATTTTCAGATAAGGCAACGCTTGACCATATCGATAAACGATGTATTCATGAAATTGAAAGCCTGGCCAACCTCCAGCACCATGAACAGAATGATGACCGATTGGTGCTGCAGTCAATGTAGCATCAGTCTCAGTTTGTACCGATTCAATGCCTAATAAAACCTTGTTGTAGAAAATAACACGTCGGGTTGTTTTTGGATCAGGATTCACGTAACCATTCGATTTTCGAGGATCATCAGCAAAATAAGCACCATGTCCTGACAATAGAAAATATCTTGTTAATTAACTGTTATGTAAACAAAAACACATATAGAACGAGAGTATGTGCACATACAATATTAAATGTATTTTATTCTAACCGTAAATTAACGAAATAAAAATTTTTGATAACATACCCCATGCTCCTGTATTCGAAAAATGTCGATCATCATATCCTCGATTGATGATTCCTTCAACAGCATCGCCACTCGTTCCATGATATAGTTCACGTTCATTGGGATCATTATCTCGACATTCTTTCGATATTTGTTTTTTCATATATTCATATAGTGATTCAATATCAGGATTTTTAATTTGTTCAATCGAAATAACTCGTGCTCCGTTTATAGTTTCCATTGCCGTGACAATATTCTTATAGAGTACTGTTGATACTGGATACGGCACGAGAATAGCATTGTAACTTGCTGGTGGATTCGGAATAAAATTCAATGGTTTACCAATCGGTTTCCATCCTCTAGATTTCATTTTTTCTATACGCTCAGCAACCGTTCCTGATGTATTCGGCCTATTTTCACCATCAATCGATCTTAAAACTTGAAACTCTTTTCTGCGAATATTTTCTACGATAGTTTCAAGTTGAATCGAGGAAGGACTACCTGTAATATCAACACGCATACCCAAATCTCTAGTGTAGAGTTTCTCCAACGACAAATTACTAACATCGAAGTCAATTCTATCATGCGTGAGAGCGATATGTGGCTCTATTAAATCCATCGTAAACGGGCCGGTCTTGGTATTTTCATCTATTAATATTACGTATCGCCAGTCTTGTTTGAATGCTTTTGCTATAATACCGTATCCATATAGTGCGTCAAGAAACGCTTCAACATCAAACGGCTTCGCAGCTGGTAAATGACAATCGAGATCCGATGGGACGAGATCTCTATTTAATATCGGCATGCCAGATTTTGGGTCATAATGAACCCATTGTTGTGGTGGTATATGGGTGGGTTTTGATGAATAATCGCCAACAACCCAATCTCGAACAAAGCCACCTTCTAATCGGCAGTCAAACAGGCAAACAGCGATCCAGGCTACCACTTCCATACGAGTTTCACGTGTAGCTGCCGGACCTTTCAGACTTTTCCATCTGTCAATGGATGTACGATCCGGATCAGTTATTTTACCGATTCTTTCTTCCATATACCGATATTGTTGACGTATCTGTGGCTTTAGAACACGAGGAGCAACTCCTAAAGAGAAAAAAATATACAATTCGATGTTCATTGTTCGAAGTGTATCATACTTGTAAAAACATTGCCAGTACACTTTTTTTACAGAAAATGCTATACTCAAAATATCTGTAAAATTTGTAAATCAAAGTGTTAAACTGTTTCATAGAGCATTTGGCTAATGGTTAAGAAATCGATTTGAGTAGGATATTTTTAAAAAGAAGTTAACAAATATGCCCATGCAAAATTCAACATTACTATAAGATTAGCTCAGCTTGTATGACGACCTACCCGGGATGATCTCGAGTAATTTAGTGTGAAAGGGATTTTGTGTTTTTTTTGTGAATTCCTGATTTTTTCAATATTCAGAAAGAGCGAAAAATTACTTAGAAAAGCTATTCAATTGATATTGAACATTACCTGAATGTGGATCACGAATTACTGCACACATGCGGAGCCAACTTAGAAATGACATGAATTCTTTTTTGACAGCTTGATTTTGTGAATCAAGACCTTCAACTGTTACGGTAATCGTTCTTTTCTTAGTATTCATTTTTGTTCGAACTTTTACTTGTTGTTCAGCCTCCCATCGCCATCGTAGGGGACCAAAAAGATCAATAGGCATATTTGTAACACTCTTCAAATTTCTAGTTAATGTATCGTTTTCATCGTTTGGAGAATCCGACTCTAATGTGAATAGTAATGTAGTCGTTAGTTGTTGACGAATGAAAAGCTCTGCATTCAAAATATAACCTGAAGAACCACGAAATACTATTTTACTATCAACAATTTTGATTTGAATATGAGGAAATTTTTGAATTGCTTGCTGTAGTATATTGTCGGCATTTAATTTTTGTTCTTCAGCTGCATTCAATTTCATTTTACGATTAAATTGATATTCTAGCCATGGTGGCTCGATTTTACCGACGAAAGAAATAATAGCTGTCGAACGAATAACGGTCAAATACTGTACATCTCGAGCTAAAACCAATGATGCCGGTAAAAGTCCTTTATTTCCTGTTCGAAGGGTTGACGATCTGTCAATAACTGCGACTGTAGGCGTATCGTCCGATTGTTGTTGCTGCGGATCAAATGTTCGTTGTTGTAGATTGTATCTTAAAAATTGCTGTGCTTTACCTTGCAGTATTCTCGTAGATACAAATACATTGTCGGAAAAGCCATCTAATAAAGCTTTGGCTATATTTTCCCAACTACTAGATTGAATCTGAGCATCTTCTCGAAATTCTTCAGATAAATTGAAAGCTTTTTCTAAATTTTTATATCGTCGAAATGCTTGCTTCAGAATATATGCAGACGCTGATAATCCTTTTGCATTGCAAACTCGATCAATATTAAATTCTTTCGCTGGCACAGAACGTTGTACCAATAATATTACATTCATCACATTGAGTAAAGTCATAAAATCGCCTTCCACACATTTATATATGCTTGGGATAGATTTTATCATCGTAGACGTATTCAAGACGGATAAAATAGATGATAAAATAATTAAATCGCGGCCTCATTGTCTTTTTCTCAATGCGGAATAAACGGCTTTAGACATTGACAGTGAGCTTAAATCTGGTAGTTTTGATATTGATAAACCCAATTTAGTGAAATTTTTAGCAGACGTAGTACTAACAAGTCCTAAAATAAAATATTAATATTCCTTCACAAAATATATATTTCGAAAAATCTGAAAGACTTCTTATCTCTTCATACCCGGCTGATAAGTCTTTGCGGAGAGTTGTACACAAAATACTTACCTAATAGTTGTAATTGTTTGATGGCATCAGTAATATATGACTGCTATGGTTTGTTCGGAAAATACTCTTGAAAGTCTAGTATATCAGTTAGTAATCGAGATTTTCGTAGCATAAAATCAATATTTACAAGTTCTGATTGACATATTTGTGGCACAGGATATTTTCGTTGTTCTCCTAAATTATAGATATTCGAAAAAGTCAACACGAGAAAATTATATTTGTTCAAATACCTGGCGCATAATTATAAAGTGCATCAAATTCTCCTGGTTGTGTTCTACCTAATCGGCCAAGTCGTTATTTGGTTGTCGATTCGGCAGCTATTATTTCTTTTAATTCAGTTCGTTCTAGTTCTATATTGTATACAGGCATATTGATGACACCAGTATCAATGACATATTTCAAACATGGAAATGTTAATGATGTTTCAGCTACAGTTGTGGAAAAAAATAATGTTCCCTGTTCAATAAGTTTCTCTTGATCAATGGCCGATTGTGATTGCACCAATGGATATGCTATAATGGCTCCTTTAGTTATGCTTTTGATTAGTGCACAATTTTCATGTACTTCTTGTACTGAACCAACAAAGCAAAGTATTTGTTCATTACGCACGCGTTTACTATACAATTGTTGTACTAAATCGAGAATATTTTCGCCGGCTACACGATTGACACTTATTGGAAATCGCGTTGATATTGATGTCAAATTGAATACACTCAAAGTACATCCAGGAATATTTCTATATAAATCTGGCACACTACTGTCCAACGTTGCTGATGAGATTATCAATTTCATTTTAGTTTTAAAATCAGGATTTAATTTTAATAATCTTGCAAATAAGGCCAAACATAAATCAATATTTATCGACCGTTCATGTACTTCGTCAATAAAAAATATAACTGATTTGTTAAGTTTCGTATTTTGTGTTATCAAATTTTCATCATTCAAAAGACGTTCTTTCAAAAGTCCATCGGTTACATAGAGAATTTTGGCTCGAACATTTTTCTCAGCACCACTAATTGCCCATCCAGTTAGATCTTCCTTCACCATGGAATTTACACGTTGAGATATCATCGAACATGGTAAACGTCTTGGTTGTGTAACAATTACTTTATCATAACCTTCAGCAATTAAGAGAGCAGGTAGAAGTGTCGATTTACCTACAATAGAAAGAAGCATATTTGAAGGAAAAAAAAGCAAGCACGTTGTAATGGGTTGAATTCTAATAAAAGAAAAACAGCTTACCTGAACCTGTAGCTGTTTCAATTGTTGTAACGGTATTGTTCTCAATTTGTTTTAGAAGATCAATCGATACATTGAATAAAGGTAATTGTAATAGAAAGCAATTATAATAGATCATAATACTTTGTAATAATGATACAATCATTTGAAAATGTTCTAATGTACAACCTTGATAGACATCTTTTGTTGAGAGTAGTTTTCTTATTCTATCGATGTACTGATTCAAGATTGAAACTGATGTTTTGTTTGGTGCGCCTCCTTTTGTTGAGTTTTGTTGATGTAGAACATGATCACGAATAAATGCGTTTAAAGCGGTGACTTTCAATAGATTAATATCATGAGAAAATGTGTCCTGTTCTAGATAACTATTTGTTAATTTTCCGATTTCTTGCCGAAATTTAATTGAAGAATTCTCAATAGAATCATTAATCATTTTATCTGAATGTTTTTTCATATTTGTTTTAAATTCTTCAACATATTCATTACATTTTTCACTGACTAATTTCAATAAATAATCACAATAGTGTTTCCAGTAGATTTGATTAATCGGACGTACTCGTTCGATTACCCGAATTAATAATTGACGTTTTCTATTTGTTTTTTGTTCAAAGAATTCTTCAGCTTTTTGTATTCGATCAAAAAGTTCTTCTAACCGAGCAAAGGTCTCTTTTAATTCTTTGTGATGAATTGGAAAACCTTTTAACACCAATTTGTATTCATATTTTTCATCAAAATTTATCATAGGAATAGTATCTTGAAAATATGTTTTGTGAGGATAATTTAATTTTTGCAATGCGTTTAATAGTAAATTGTGTTTGAACACTATTGACTGTTTCGATTTCGGAAGTGTGTATTCGGCAATCAAAACATCTTTGACTGTTTCATTAATTAATTGTTCATGTTGAACTTTTTCATTTAACTTGCTTTGTGTTTCTTCTAAGTTACTAATCATGCTATTCAAGATTACTTCATTTGTTGTACTAGTTTCGTTCAAAGTTCTACATTGTGCACTAAGTTGCCTTTCTATTGCAAACAACTTTGTTTTTAATTGTTCGTTTTCATTCTCCAGCGCGGATCGAGCTTTTACTGCCATATTTTCTAGCTCGTCCTTATTCACAATATTAGGAATACTGTTTATTATCACCTGTTCGACTTCACTGTTGGACTGATGAGAATGCTCATTGATGTAATCGTCGGCATTCTCTGATAGGTTTGGCATCAAACTCGATTCAGTTATAATCAAATCTGTGTTATCTATAACAACGATAAAAAAGAAAATGTTTGATGAAAGACAAATATGAAAAGCTCTATTCTGCATATTACTTTGGTGGAAATCACTATTTTCTATATCAGCTAGACACCAATTGCCAACATTTGGAACTGAATCAATCAATTGCGTACTATCGTCAGTATCATCAGCTTCAGTTTCAACGACAGATTCTGTCTCATCATTATCACCATAGTCAATATCCGATTCCTTATCGTCACTGATTGGCTTGGATCGAATCGATTGTTCCAATCGTTTTGTTGTCAAAGGAATCGGATTCGATTGATTTCCTGCTTGAAAATTATCTAATTCCTTAATAAAAGTTTGATTGTGAGGAGTATTTACGATAAATTTTGGTATCCATCGAACAAATCCTAATATTGTTTTAGCATCGTTAGCAAATGTGAATAAAAATAAATTGCATTGAATTTGGCCAATATAAATATGATTAATATCAACATATCTTCGTCTATTATTCATCGATTGATCTAACAAAGCATTCAGTTCACTGTCACATGTATACCAACTATTTAGTTTTATCTGAAATTTACTGTCATAAACAGACGGAATCGTTACAGAATCTAATGATGGTGGTGGTGGTAAAGTTTTAGTTGTTGTCGATGGATTACTTGTTTCACACTTGACAAACATTAATTGCCATATGCAATGTATATCGAAATTAGCTATACTCGAACCTCGACATCGAATCCATGCTGCACTATCTTTGGCTGCCGGCTGTGGTTCTTGATTTTTGCTTCCACGGTAGAAAGTCAATAAGTTAATCGTGTAAGTGCTTTGTCCACTACTCAGATGGATTGTTGAATTAAACGATTGATCACCTTTATTTGGCATCAATGAAATTGATAAAGTATTATGTTCGGTCATAGTAAACTCTTCCCATTCGAATCCCTTTACGAGCTTGTATTCCCAAATACAATTATTTGGTTGACGATCATGACAACCAAGAATCGATTCTCTAGGTATGGAAGGATTCAATCTATTCAAATAATTTGGTATAAGGTAATCTTCAAAAAAATTTCGAATCGGTTCCCAGTCTTTTCCATTGTCTATAGGCGTTTCGCCTAACTGATTTCTTAGAAAATAATTCGCTCCTTTATCGATCAAATATTTAACTATTTGAATATGGTTGCCAAAGCAAGCGGCATGTAGTGCTGTTGCAGCTAATTTTGGATCGGGATCATAGCCGAGAATGGCCGGATCTTGCCAATCAGCATCGTTGTCGGTTATCAAAGCAAAGGCTAGTTCTCTTTGATTTTGAGCATTTACAGAGCAACCAACAGTTTCAACTAAATATGTAACCAGGTCAATAAAGCCTCCTCGTGCAGCCGAATATAATAATGTTGTTCCCCAAAAGCCCGACTTATCTTTGTAATCGGGATGTTGGCGAAGAAACTTTTTAACTGTCTCTTTCTCGTTTCTATACGCTGCTGGATAAGCTTTTGCTGCCATTAATAGAGCCTTAAGATTTTGCTGAAAACTATATAGAATATTTGCTGTCAATGCTTCAGTGAACACTCGTTGATCTTTATCAAAATGGTATTCATGTAAAAATTGTTCAATATAGCCTCTACAAAGAGTTGACAATGTTGGTAAACCATTTTTTAACGTAGTTTGGATATCATTAGTTAATTTGTCCAATAATTCGTCTTCTTCAATATCAACAGTAAAAGAGTTTACATTGTTGTTTTGCACTGAGTTGTCAAACAGAGGATCATCGCATGTAGTTGTTGCGGTCGAAGTAGATGAAGTGTCAGTTGTAGTCTTCGAATCGATTTTACATTTAGTATTTAACTGTCTTAGAACATCATCAACATATTTAATGATTACATTTAGACAGTTGTACAATTTCTTTTCTTCTTGATCATCCATTTTATGATTTATAAACAAACAAAATAAATGATTGAAGTAAATGTTAATGTTACTTGGTCAATCAATATTTGTCAGCAGAAAAATTTAATTATATAATCTAAAATTTGTCAATGTAAAAAGCAATGTAGAACAATGGAACACAACTGATAATACAGGGTATCGATGTAGATGTTACTTTTTTTGTCAATCATCTTTACGAAAAAGCCCACACTCTTTCGAATTACGGTGTTCTTTTTTCTCTTTCTATTTATGTTTTTGCGGGAAGAAAACGAAAATATTTGTTTTGGATCAGGCATGAAAGCTATGCGACAGACAAGAAATGAAACAAGATTAAGCTGTTTGAAACCGAAGAATTTAATAAAATCAGGCTTATTATGTGACTCGGCAAAATATTATCGCGTTATGCAAAAAAATGATTTGCTCGGTAGTATCAAACTTTAAATCTTTGAAATGCATGTTCTCAACAGCTTCGTGACATGCTTGAAAATTAAAGAAGAAGCATTTAAGCCACGTCCTGCAATCACTAACACTTCATTGACTTTATTTCGACCTCGAAATCAGCTTAAAACTAATATGCATGCATTTGCATAGCACTCTTATTGAGAGAGAGAGAGTTGTCGTATGTGTATATTGAATTTGAAAGTTGATTTTAATTTACCTTCCAAAGAGTGAACAAAACAAAAAAAAACATAGCTGTCAAGCAAGTAATAAATCATTTAATACTTTACCATTTAGACATGTCTCTCTGTCAGAGCCTATCATCAGTTAATCATAATGTGTAGAACATGTAAGTTAAGAAAAAAATAACGGGTTGTTTTTCTTTTGTAAACGAGAACCGCAACGCGTGGGAAATAGCAATAATTTTATTTTTCTTCTTAACACATTTATGGTGTGAATGAGGGATCCTTGACGATATGAAGTCTATCTTCATGTACACCTACACTCAAGTTAGACATTGTGGCAACGTGTCGCTATGAAGATTCGATCATAATGATTAAACTTGACCACACCACTGATGAAAAATCTTTAATTTTTGAGAAAACAGATAGAGGTCGTCAATTTTTTCATTTCTCTGGAATCAAAAATCGATGGAAATATATACAACGTTTGGCGTTCTATCCGACTTCATAGAAGTTTGGGTTATCTATGTACTCATACGCTTACACCCGCCAAAGTTCTTTTCTGTTAATTCTATGAATTCTATAATTATTGAATTTCTTTGATTGTAATTTCATCAAACATTCACAAGCTAAGCGTGGGTGTAGATGAGCAGAAGAATCACACCCACACCCACACGCTCACACCAACACCCACACCCTGGGATTCTGACCAATGTCAAAACCAGCTGTATGTCCCAGTCGTATCCATAGATTTACTCTTAGAATCGTAGAAAAGTTTTGAAAACTACTGTATGGAAAGATTAGCTAACAGTGGAAAATTTGATTCCCATGCTTTATGTCGCTGGAAATAGTCGATACCAGTAAATGGAAAATGCCGATATTGTGGCTTAATATCAATTCCACAAGCGTTAAGAACCCACCATATGAATGAATTACTATTGGGACCGTATAAAAAATGATAGGAGACATGCGCTCGGTTGTAAATATATGTTTTCTTACGAAGACAGCTAATTAGTTCCTGACATCGGTTGGAATTCAGCAGCCATTGATAGCCCTGATGCTCCCAGTCATTTTGTTTTTCGAGTGCCCAGGATATTGTATTATACGGCATATTTTCGCCCACATAACCTCCTTCAATCAAGGCGAATTGAGAACTTCTTTCAAATATATTGATATATAAGTGGTGAAAGCCAAGAAAATTTATTCCAAAGTCTGCAATATTCTGCCTACCAGCCAAGGGTCTGGCACCCAAAATAACACAGCAAGATTTCAATGTTGCTCTTGGGTTGATACTATTTGTACTTGGCAATAGGAAAATGTTCGCATTCGAAAAAGCCAAAAGCAATAACCCCAGCATTTTAGTGAATAGAACGGGTAAAATAATAAGGAAAGCCGAAACAAGGTATAACATCTTCAGGTTCATATCTGAAATGGAAGCAATTTTGTAAGACTTTGAAGGATGAAATTACATGGTCAAACTTTTATCAAGAATCAGAGAGAACCAACAAAATAAAATGCGATAACAAAAAAAAATATTAAAGGAAATAACGATACACATAGTCTTTCCACATTAGAACAAGTGCCAATTACGTCTGCAATGCTGTTACATTGTCCCAAACCTGTGCATGGTGAATTGCATCCTCCTGGCACTAAACATGACCCTCCAATACAAGTTTTTTGACCATAATCCTTCACTGACGTGTGAATCGTTCCATTAATAATAGATTCTTCAACACGTGTTCATTTACAGGCACATCCTAAACATACGCCACAAAATTGACTGCTTGATGATCCGTAAATAGACACAAACATAAGCATCAGACAGGCAATCAGTAAGAAACACTCTAATTTTCTCATCTTGGTGACTATCGCACAAATCCACAACGTTGTTCTGATAAAGACTTTTACAAATACATCAACCTTTTTATATCTCTTTTTGGCGTATTTTTTCATTTACCTTCTGCAATAGTTTTATTGCCGTCTTTCCATATATGTCGAACTTGAAACTTGAAACTTGAATTTTCAACCTTCAACCTTCAAGTTTCCACTTCATGAAATGCAGTTTTGGATATGCAATATCTCAAGAAGGATCCATTCAATCCAGCTAAAGAATGTGAATGTTGCCTTAGAAAAAGATACTCACACCCACACCCTCAAGATTGCCCCATTTTTTACGATGTCCCCATAAAACATCATAAGAAATAACAAAGCGAAATTTATCATAGGATTGCAAGAAATCTAATTTTTTATGATCTCTTTAACTTTTTATGACATAGTGGCAGGAAAAACAATAACCTCTTAATTTATTCAGGATTCTGAAATTTTAAAAGATAATAGTTGTAAAACTAATTTACAAATCATCTTCTGGAACAGAAGAAGTATCGTGTTTAGTTTTTGAAAAACCTTCCTCTCATACTTTATCTATGAACTTTTGATATGAATTGCATTTGATGGAGAATTTTATTCACTATTCAAATTCTTATGTAGATTTTGAGCTAAAAATTTACCATTATAAAAAACACTAAGTTGATCTTCTATGTTTTGATCAGTATTGTATATGATAGAATACAATGCTAACAGAGATGAATCTTTATACTAGACGAGAAAATACTTTTCTCTGTTTCCTATCGATAACTATTCCATAGGAATGAAGAATAGTTAATACGAATATCAAAATAAGAAATTAACACAATTTGAAAAGGTTTTTACAACAAATGACAAATATCCTAAAACCTTCATATCTCCAATAGATTCAATTTTTGATTGACTTTTATGTTTCTCTTGAATATATTCCATTAATCCTTTAGTATTTGTTGCTATTTCACCAAAATTACTATAAAGATTCTGGTAACCAAATGGGGATTTAATTTGGGGATTCTTTTTTTTGGGGATTTTGTTTTTCATAAGATACACTGTGTATGCTGTAATTCAATCGCATCTTGCTTCTCGTACTACACAGCATCAACTTTAGAATAAAAGTTTCTAGCATGATCATTGTGTTAGCCAAGGTTCAATTTATGTTCTGGTGATCAGAAAGTGATTTTTCACTCAATATTGCATTATGTAATAAATATGACAACTACTTTTGAATGCCTATCATTTACTCCAAAACTGGTTAGCACAAATCAACCCCCAAATAAAATCCCCGCTTGGGGTTATCAAACGAATAAAGTGAGGATAATTGATTTTGGGATTTTTTAATTGGCTAAACATAAGAAAAACAGCTTTACGATGAATCTGGTGGCCAGAATATATTGTGGGTCGCCAAAAGCTACACTTTATAGTAACCCAAGATATAATCTGGTCACCAGATTCATCGTAGAGCTGTTTTTCTTATGTTTAGCGAATTAAAAAAATCCCCAAATCAATATCCTCACTTTATTCGGTTGATTATCCCAAATGCGGATCTTATTTGGGGATTGATTTGTGCTAACCAGTTTTGGGGTAAATGATAGGCATTCAAAAGTAGTTGTCATATTTGTTACATAATGCAATATTGAGTGAAAAATCACTTTCTGATCACCAGAACACAAATTGAACACAATGATCATGCTAGAAACTCTTATTCTAGAGTTGATGCTGTGTAGTACGAGAAGCAAGATGCGATTGGATTATAGTATACACTGTGTATCTTATAATAAAAAAATCCCCATTTGGTTACCAGAATTGTTTTATCATCCCCAAATGGGGATTTCAATTTGGGGCAAATGATAACCTACCTTTATCAAGGAGTCATGAACCCTGTTAAATCCCTTTAAAAAGAGTTTAATTCAAAGTTTATAAACGCTCATTACTCTTCTGGGAGGTTTATGCAAGGGTTGATAATTAACATAAACGTTCTTATAATACCTTCGAAATTCAGTCTAAAAAGGGTTGATTAAAATATTATACCCTTGAGCCCCTCTCAGAAACAATATTGGAAAGCGTTTATGGACATCATGAATGGTCGACAGCTTTTGTGATAGGGTATATGAAACTGATTATTAACCTCATCAACTGCCTCACGGATGTGGGTAAGCATTGTTGGCGCCGATTTCAATGCGATTGTGGAAGTGAATAAAGGGAACACTCATACCTTCCATATTCACTTTTAGTATGAAGTCTACTTATTTTGTTGTTATAAGCTAGATTGCATTTTTTCAGCTATAAATTCTTACTCTTTTCAACTTCTCCGACTTCGAAAACAGATACACAAACAACTTAGCAGAATTCGTATATAATGATATACGTTTAGAACTGCCTTATAAAGTGAATCTGTGTATGACACCGCAATTACAACTTTAAAAATACTTTGTTAAACTTAATTAATTAATTAATTCCTCATGACTATGATTTTATTGAATCAAAATATGCGGCATCCATGTAAACACGAAACACAACATCGATGCGTTGAAACGCGGTTTCTCAAAATTACGCGTCCAAACTTGGTTAAAAATGGTTTTATGACACGTCCCAACACGTTTGCAATATGAAACGCGTTGTATCGCACTCAGAAAAATTTCGAAACGCTTTTGAACGCAATTTTTGGACACAACGCGTTTAAACGCATTTTGAAAAAAATATGGACCGCATCTCACCGCGTTTCATATTGAAGTCGCGTTAATACGCAGCTAATAAAGTTCGGCTGAACGCGTTCAGACACGATGCAATATAAAACGTGTTTGAGCGCGTCTGCGAAAAATATGAAGCGCATGTGAACGCGGTGTTGTGAAAAATCGCGTTGACATGCGACAAGATAGCATCAGATTCTGCACGATGTGCAATACAAGCGAACTAGATCAAGTTAAATTATTCAAGAAAATCTGTTTTTTTAGAGCTCCTGAAAGCTATAGACGCTTCTATCATTTTACTTTTATCTAAATTTAAGAAAAGAATACATGATAAATATTAAAATCAGCAATATTCATAGCGTGCATACACCTACAAATAGGTATCATTAATTATTTCCGATACTTGCCTACAAATATATCATAAAAATTTCTCTTTCTTTACTATGTAGTCATTTTTACTNGTATGAAAAACGTTTTGTTTAAAATATGTCAGTATGCTGAAGTGTTTAGTGGTTTCATTGAGAAATATTGTGAATGATAATATAGTTTAAACAGTATTTATGATATAGCTATCAATATTGTCGAGAAATTTATATTTTTTCGCATTACCAGGTCCAGGTGAGAAATTGATACATTTTTTCATAAACGAAAACTTGATAAAAGCTTCCAAGTAGACGGAAAAGTTCCGAATTGTAGATACACTAAAGTGGACTCAAGCTCTAGAATAAGGTATTCGCGTGAGAAAAAAAGATTAAAATCTTCATCTGTTTATTGTAGGTGATAGAAGTCACGAATGTAATAGTAGCATAAACTAGTTGCTAGCTTCTGTAGCGGTAGCATACGCTCGTTGCTAACGTCTGTAATAATAAAAATATATAATACTGTCGTAAGTATGGGCTATAATAATAAAAATGACAGATTTTAATGATTAATCAGAGATTAAATCCTAATTATCTTGATTTCTAATAAGTGAAATTAGATTTTAACTACTGATATGAGTAGCGGTGAATATAGGCAATCCATCTGTATAAAAATTTTATCTAATTAGTGCAACAAAGTGTTACTTTTTTTGTTTTATGTCTGTAATGGAGAGAGGGGGTGGGCGCAGGGGAGCCGCAAAAACCTATTCAACTTACACTCACAATTTTCTTCGAAAATATATGTGAGTTCCACAAAACTTACTAATGAAGTATTTAAAATCAATATCTATTTATTGAAATGGATACAAAATTGAAGTTCTATTCGACAGGAAATGCGTAAATCACAGCACTCCATACTCTAACGGAAACTAATTTTTTCACCATTCATTTCTTTAAAACAGTTAACTCATGATTTCAAAATTCAAATGAATATCTTCAAGCAGCCACTCTTGATTGTATAGTATACTTAACTGTCAGATTACTGCCACTCGCTTCAAAAACTTCTATTCTTATAATCTAAACTCACATGAAAATTCCGTTAGAGATAAAAAAAAAATAAACTTAAAAAACTTGTTATTTTCTTTCCGTCATTCTTGTTATGCCATTAAAACAGATAACAAGTCACATTCAAACAAACTGACTTTTCTTCTTCAAAACATGAATTCAACAGAGGAAAATTCCGCAGTATCCAATATGAAAAAGTATTATATTGTCTGCTCATTATCTGCAAGCTGTAGTCTGTTATCTGTTATGATTTCTATGATGATTATGATCATAGTAAGATGTTCGAAACGTCGTTTACATACAGTTCGACATTTGTTAATGTGTAATACATGTATTGCATCAGTTATTTATTGTATCGTACAAACTATCAATTATATTTTCCTCATTTTTATCCCATGGGAAACAAGTAATGTATTATGTCAATGGCGGGGCTATTTTGGTTACATGTCGATTTCTGCAGTGACGTATTCTTATCTTATGCAAGCAATATCACGTCTGTTCTTCTCGAAATTCTCAACAAAATACCCTTGGTTGTTGACATTCAAAACACATTATTATCTAATTCTCATTCATTGGATTATTGTGTTCATTATACCTTTGCCGTCAGTTATAACAAAAGATATTTATTTCCGTCCTGGTCTTCTTTGTTGGGTACCGCTCAAAGCCACAATTCATGTAGGATATACTGTATTTGCCTGCTACTTCGTACCAATATTTTCTATTATTGTCATTTATATTTATATCTATAAACGAATTAAAAAAGCAAGCAAACGTGCTGAAATGGTTCTTAATACAACAAACGATAAACGTGATCTTGAAGTTTTTCGTAATATCGTTATTCTTTTGGCGATTTATATCACCGGTGGTATTCCAACTCTGATTTTTATTATTTTTGAAATACCTCTATTTTATTTAGCTGGCATTGTTACATTTACATTGGCAGTATCTATTGAAAAGATATGTACGATTGCACTTGATCATGAACTTCGACGAGTAGTGTCGAATAAAATATTTAAAAACAATCTAGTTACAACTTTCGATAATACAATTACACGAACAAAGAATCCAGAAACTTTGAGACGTCCTTGATTGCTGTAACGATGGCATTATCTCATTAATACGAATAATTCAATCGAACAACTATTCAACGAACTTTACACTTACTATTTAATGTGAACTATCAGAATATTACTCCAGAAAATGATCTGACTTTTTTTTGAAATTTTTTCTCATTATTAACACCCAGTGGAATGCTTTTTCTTTGCATTTTTACTATCAAAGTTGTTCTGTTGTATCTCATCTGTAACAGTATTTTATTTAGAAATTTCCTTTGAAAAATTACATTAAATAACCTATGCCAAAAAAAGTCTTCGTACAAAATTCTTTTCATTCTTCTTCTTCTTCAATATGAAGCTTTTGTTTTTTATCTCTTATATCAAATGAAAGAACATATGGGCATGCTCCGCCATAGGAGGCCCCAACACTCATTTATTTATTTAGCTTCAACCAGTTATCAGAAAAATCTGACTTTTTTTTACCAGTTATACTGCATATATAATGCTAATTGTTACAGGGATGTCGCTCGCATACAACTCTATATATCTATATATGTCATCCTCTATCCTCTTTCATCTTCTTTGATCTGGATTTGTTTCTCTTCTTTCTCTCTCTTCTCTTCTCTTGTTT